GTGTCTTCTTCAATTTCTTTCAACAATGTTTTATACTTTTCAGTGTACAGCTCTTTCACCTCTATGGTTAAATTTATTCCTAGGTATTTTATTCTTCTTGTTGTAATTGTAAATGGGATTGTATTCTTAATTTCTCTTTCTGCTACTTCATTGTTAATGTATAAAAACGCAACTGATTTTTGTATGCTGATTTTGTATCCTGCAACTTTACTGTATTCATTTATTATTTCTAATAATTTTTTTGGAATTCTTTAGGGTTTTCTATATATAGAATCATGTCATCTGCAAATAGTGACAGTTTTACTTTTTCTTTCCAATTTGGATCCCTTTTATTTCTTTTTCTTGCCTGATTGCTCTGGCTAGGGCTTCCAATACTTTGTAAAATAAGAGTGGCAAAAGTGGGCATCCTTGTCTGGTTCCTGTTCTTAGAGGGATGGCTTTCAGTTTTTCACCATTGAGTATGATGTTATGTGTGGGTTTGTCATATGTGGCCTTTATTATGTTGAGGTACTTCTTTCTATATCTATTTATTCAGAGTTTTTTTTATGATAATGGATGTTGTATCTTGTCAAATGTTTTTTATGCATCTATTGAGATGATTTTATGACTTTTATTCTTCATTTTGTTAATGTGGTGTATCATGTTGATTGATTTGCAGATGTCAAATCATCCTTCTGTCCATGGAATAAATCCCACTTGATCATGGTGTATGATCTTTTTAATGTATTGTTGTATTCGATTTGCTAGTATTTTGTTGAGGATTTTTGCATCTATGTTCATCAGTGATGATGTCTTGTAATTTTCCTTTTTAGTATCGTCCTTTTCCAGTTTTGGTATCAGGTTAATGTTGGCCTCATATCTAATGCCTGAGTTTTAAGCTCCTCAAATCTTCTCTTTTACTCAGGGCTAATTGATGGCATTACCACCTGGTCCAAGAAAATGCATGGTCTTCTAACTGCTGGGAAAAGAAATCTCAGAAAGAAAGGGGAAAGTGGGGTGTGAAGGTTTCCTCTTCCCCTCTAGCTGCAGTAAAGCAGATGCTGTTCTGCATCACAAAGTTAGTTCCAATAAAGTTGACGGCATTCGTACAAGTATCCATCTCATTCTCCTATCATGAGGAAAGTCCCATGTGAAAATGTAAAGCTTCATTTTGTGATTATAAAACTATTCTTGAAAGTGTTATTTGTACAAAGGAGTCTTTGGCCTGCAAAAATTATTGATCTCCCCTGTGAATTATGACCTTTAATGCCTAAAAAGTATGTAATTTTGATTATCTTAATTGATAACTAGTTGCCCTGGGAATAATATTGACATTGACAGCTCTGTTTGCTTAAAAATATAAATATTTTGGGGGCCGGCCCAGTGGCTTAGCGGTAAGTGCGCACACTCCGCTGCTGGCAGCCTGGGTTCAGATCCCAGGCACACGCCGATGCACCGCTTGTCCGGCCATGCTGAGGTGGTATCCCACACACAGCAACTAGAAGGATGTGCAACTATGACATACAACTATCTACTGGGGCCTTGGGGAGAAAAAGGGAAAAAAAGGAGGATTGGCAATAGATGTTAGCTCAGGGCCGGTCTTCCTCAGCAAAAAGAGGAGGATTGGCGTGGATGTTAGCTCAGGGCTGATCTTCTTCACAAAAATAAATAAATAAATAAGTAAATATTTTGTTAGGTGAGAAGAAGAGCTTTGGAATTTCTACCTTCTGACTTTACGCACAAAGTTTATAATATCATGATGTTGTTGGACTGCTTATTGAACCCAAGAGTTGCGAGTCCATCTCATTTAAAATTCTGTATTAATTTCTAATTGCTGTTTAGCTATGCCTTTTTGCATTATGTTTTAGTTGTTGCCTAAAGAATTATAACATACATCCTCCATTTTTCCCAACCTACATAGAGGTAATATTGTACCACTTGGTATAAAATGTAGGAACCTTGTAACTGTATACATCCAATAACCATCATTTATGCTATAATCAAATGTATTCTATCTACATATATTTAATAGTCACAAGGCAATACTATAATTTTTGCTTTAAGCATTTGTTGTTGTTGTTGTTTTTATAATTTTATTTATTTTTTTCCCCCAAAGCCCCAGTAGATAGTTGTATGTCATAGCTGCACATCCTTCTAGTTGCTGTATGTGGGACGCGGCCTCAGCATGGCCGGAGAAGCGGTGCGTCGGTGCGCACCCGGGATCCGAACCCAGGCCACCAGTAGCAGAGCGCCCGCACTTAACCGCTAAGCCATGGGGCCGGCCCTAAGCATTTATGTTTTTAAATAAATTAAGAGAAAAACAATCTTTTATATTTACCCAGAGATTACTATTTTTGATGCTCTTCAATTCTCTCTTCAGATCTGAGTTTCTAACTATCATTTTCCTTCCACCTAGATAGCTTATTTTAGCATTTCTTGTAGTGCAGGTCTGCTGCAACACATTCTTTTGGTTTCCTTTTGTCTGAAAATACCTATTTTTCCTGCATTCTTGAAAGATATTTTCACTGGATTTAGAAATCTGGGCTGACAATTGTTTTTCTTCTCAGTTCTTCCAAGATATTGTTCCACCGTCTTCTGGCCTCCATAGTTTCCAATGAGAAGTCAGTGATCATTCACATGCTCCCACATGTAACGTGGTATTGTGATCTGGTTGTTTTCACAAGTCTCTCCTTATCTTAGGTTTTCAGTAGTTTTAACTATAACGTGCCTAGGTGTGCTTTCCTTGTATGTATCTTGCCGAGCTTCATGGATCTGTTTTTCTTTCACCAAATTTGAGAATTTGGGGGCTTTATTTCTTCCAATCTTTTTTTATATCCCATTTTCTCTCTCTTCTCCTTCCGTGACTCTAAACATGTATAAGGTGGAGCTTTTGACATTGTCCCACAGATCCTTGAGGCTCACATTTTTCAACATTTTCCTTTCTGTTCTTCAGATCTAATAATGGCTATTGCTCCATCTTAAAGTTTCTCTTTCTTCTGTCACTCCCATTGTGCTGTTAATCCCATCCAGTGACTTTTAAAATTCCACATATTGTACTTTTCACTTTGATAATTTCCATTTGGTAACTTTTTAATAGTTTCTAATTTTCTGTTGAAATTTCCTATCTTTTCACTTTTATGAGCCTATTTTCCTTTACCTCCTTTATGTCTTTTTCATTCATGGTTATAATCACCACTTTAAAAATCCTTGTATGCTAATTTCAACATCTCGCTCATCTTGGGGGTCAGTTTCCATTGATTGTCTTTTTGTCTTGAGAATGGGTCCCTTTTTTGTATTGTGTTGTAGTCAGGTAATTTTGGATGTCTACTGCACAGCGTGAATAATATGTTATAAACACTCTGGATTCCATTGTAATCTTAACAGTGTGAATTTTGTTGTTGTTGTTTTAGCAGGCTCATATCTTGGATGGAATCAAATGCAAAGTCTCCTACCCCACCCTCCAGCCCCATAGTAGGTTGCAACTCAAACCTTAGTTCAATTCCTTTAGCCTTAGCCAAGCTGTTTAGACTCTGCCCATGAATGCACACACGGTTCAGGGGTCAGCCAGATATTTGGGTAGTTTATATACAGAATTTGGACCAACTTCTCTCTGTCTTTCTCCTTTCTGGAATTTCTACCTCCGCTTTCTAGCAGCTATTGTTACCCAAAATTCTGTCCTCTGGTTACTCAGGGCAGTAAAACCTTCTCTTTTTTTTTTTGCAGAATTTTACTTGCCCTGCACAGCACTGCTTGAGACCTGCCTTCAGGCTAAACTCATGAGCTGGGAATTCACCAGTGATATTCTTGTCTTCCACATGTTGACTCCCTCCTAGTATCTGCCTGCTCTGGTCACTCTCCAGTGCCTTCAGGTAGTTGCTTCTTATATTTTTCCCCCAGAGTTTATAGTTGTTATCTGTGGTGAAGTGGGTCAGATAGGAGCTACTCAGCCATACTGGAAGTGGAAATCCTTATTTGTCTCATTGAAATGAACAATGCAAATGGTCCCATCTGAGAGATGGTAAAGCTGAGGCCAGGAGAGGAAACAAGGTCATGGTGTGTTTCAGGGAGAGCAATCAGCTATGATAAAAAATAATGGGGTTGGGGATTTTTAGATTAGAATCCTAAAACAGACTGGCTCCTATGCAAAGCCTCTGTTTTGTGCATTAGTAAATTGGGGATAATATTAGTATATAGTCAATGTTCATTAAGTGCTTACTGAGTCCAGTGCTAAGCCCGTTAAATGCATTATCTCTTTTAATCCTCAAGACAACCCAGTGGGACTGGATTACTTTTATTGGGAGATTTTGCAGAGGAGGAAACTGAGGTCTAGTGAGGTTGAGCCTGAGGTGACACAGAATTGTTTGCATGATAAATCAATAATAATAATAATGGCTCATATTTATGGAACTCAAATTTCTTGAACTCTTACGTGTTGTAGATAATGTGCTAGGCGCTCTAGACACATTATCTCATTTAATCCTCCCAACAACTCTATGAGGGGAGTACTATTATTATCACTCCACCTTTTCAGATGGAGACGAGAAGAGACTAAGTAAGTTGCCCCAGTCACATAATGAGCAAGTGGTAGAGCTGGGATTTGAACCCAGGCAGCGTAGCTCCAAATCCAACTGGTCGACCTCTATGCCCCAGTGCCTTCTCTTTATGATACAACCTGAAAAGGACGATCACCTTAAAGATCCTCAAAGAGGCAAGTTTTCTTCCTCTTAGTAAACACTGGATTGGATCTAATGGAATTCACAAGGTTGTGGGATTCTTTGGTACATGCACACGGGTGGTACCAGTGAATGTCTGTGGGGTCTGAACCAGTCTGGGAACCCATTTGCATCCATTCATCAGGCACCCCAGCCTATAAGGCAAATGAGGAAATCTTCCTGAGTAGGAATAGACGGCAACACACTGCGGAGGTTCCCTCATCTTGTTTCTCACTTCATGTTTTGGATGCCACAGGCAGGGCGAGCAGAGATCCCAGGCTCTGACAAAGGCAGCTTCCCTGCCTCCGAGCACTGCCATGAACCAGTTCCAGACCATCCTGACTCACGTCCGGATGCTGCTGTCCAGCCACTGGCCGAGCCAGGTACAGGCCCTCCTGGACAGTATGCTGGCAGAGGAGCTTCTCTCCAGGGAGTACTACTGCGCCCTGCTCCAGGAGCCTGATGGCGAGGCTCTGGCCAGGAAGATCTCCTTGACCCTGCTGGAGAAAGGAGACCTGAACTTGGCCCTCTTGGGGTTGGCCTGGAGTGGGCTGCAGGCCCCGGCAGCTGAGAGGGACCCTGGCTACAAGGACCCTGGTGGTAAGTTGGCATCCCTTTGCTCAAGGAGCAATGACTGGCTGTAGGCAGCTCAAGGATTTTCCCTCCTCTCTGAAAGTAAGTCAATATGATCATTCCTGTCCAGAGGTGGGACGGCAGACACGGCCAGGTATGAGAGCCTCTGGCTGAGCTGGCAGGAGCCACAAGTGCTTGGAGAACTCAGTCTGTGGTGCTGGGTGTGCTGGAGGCACACAGCGTGCTTCTCGCTCTGCTTAAGAGAAAACCATCCTGGAGGCGTGCCGCCAAATGCCTGCCTGGGTCACTCTCTGAGCCACCTCGATATGTCAGGCACTGTGCTGGGGCACTGGGAGGGCACAGGTGGACAGATCATCTCCCGTCTGTCTGGTGGGGAAGATGGATGCCGGCACAATCAGTGCAGTTCAAAGATGGAGAAATGGGGTGCCACAGAGAGAAGGAGCCAAAGAGCTGGAGAGCAGAGGATGCCGCGTGTGCATATGTGTGCATGCGCACGTGTGTGCGTTTGTGTTTGCATGTGTGGGCATGTGTGTGCATGTGCCTGCATTTGCTTGTGTGTGTATCTGTGTCATGGAGAGAGACAGAAACCGAAAGACAGAGAGAGAGAGAGAGAAAGGAAGGGAGAGACAGAATAGAAAGAGACAGAGAGAAGGAGGGAGGGAGGGAGGGAGCGAGCGCCGGAGGGAGGCAGAGAAGGAGGAAGGTGGAGGGAAAGAGAGAGAGAAAAAGAGAGACAGAGACAGAATAGGAACCAGATCAGAGGGAGAAAGGGAAAGTGTGTCTTATTTTTAAAAAGTGTATTGATGACACTTGATGCATCCTAAGTCAGAAAAACTAGCCTACTCCATACTCTTTCCACTCACACTTTGGCCTCCTCAAACATGCTAGGTCTTCCTTCCCAGTTATGAAGAGGTTCTCACTTTGTCGTAAACTGTGTTCTTCCTAAAGACACATGTTTGTTCTGTCTCTACGCAAATCTGTGCTTTTCCGATTTTATGACTTGGTGTCATAAACTCTAGCCCTTCTCGGTCCAGTCATGGTTTCTGTGAAAGTTGAAACTTAAGATCATAGCAATGATTCATGTTTATTGAGTGTTTACTGAGTGCCAGGCACAACCTGAGCACATTCCAGCACCTTCTTAGGTGGTCCTCACGCCCACCCTAGGCCCTTTGATGAGCTCCATCCTTATTTTACACACAAAGAAGAAAACAGAGACCACCCAGAGGGGACACAACCCCGGTCCCAGGTGGGAAGTGGCGGAGGCTGGATTTGAAGGCAGACAAGCTCTTATCCTCCACCTGGATGGAGGGGTAAAAAGCCTTTTGATGGTCTTGCCATGGGCACCGGGGCGGTGTAGGTATTTCTCCAAGTCTTCTGCCAAGACACAAGTTTAAAAGGGGTTGGCTGTCTCCATGGTTAAATTCTCATGCAGATGGTCTCTGTAGGTCTCTTGAACACATCTTTTACTCTCCGGCTCCTAACAGACTCCTGGGGGTGCGGGGCATCTTTACCACCTGAATGATCTCCCTGGCTTCTTAATGGGAGTACAAGCAGCCTGTGTGGTCTTGGAGGGGGTGCAGAAGCCCACCTGGAGGGAGGTCAAAGCCTGCCTCTCTCCTTGGCTCCCCCCCCATCAACTACAGGCTCCTTTACACGCTGGCGGCTGCCCGACACCTCTGCCCCTCCCTCCTCCTCTCTCTGCTCAAGCTCTGGTTCCTCTTACTTAACTCCGTTTCCTCCCTGGGGATGTAGTGTGTTTATTTCTGATCCCATGTGACTCTAGAAAGGGAACTGGGCTCAGGGTGGCGTGGTCTTCAGGGGGCTGGGAGACAGAGAAGGATGAATGGCTTCCTTTCCCTGCTCCATCATCCTGTCCTCCAGGCCAGCTCCCCTCAGGGCTGCAAGGCTTGACCCGGGACTAAGGGCAGGTGTGCTCCTGCGGTGCCTGGGGAAGGAGCAGCTTCAGAGGGGAAGGAGAATGGGGAAAGAGAATCGTGTGGTTTGTAAATAAAGGGCACTGCCTTCAGTTTCAATGATGGTTCAGAAGAGGAAATCATCCACGTGAAGCTTTTGTAACTCTCTCCACAGCCCTGCAATGATCTTTACTCTCCACTGCCCCAAACCCTGCTCTGACTCTGCATGTCACTCAGAAGAAAAGCTAAATCCAGACAATGGCCCACAAGGCCCTTCACTATCTGGCTCTCATCACTGCTCTGCTCTGATTCCCTACTTCTGCCTTGCCCATCTACTCCAGCCATGCTGGCACCCTCACTGTTTCTGGGACAGGCCTGGCACACTCTCTACCTTAGGACCTTTGCACGTGCTGTTCCTTTCATCTGGAACACTCTTCTCCAGACATCCTCTTAGCCAACCTCCTCACGTCCTTCAGCTCTTTGATCAGATGTCACCTTCTCAACAAGGCTTATCCTGACCATCCCATTTAGAACTGCAACTCCCTGCCCACACTCCAAGCCCCCTCTCTAGACTGACATTTTCACCTTCTGTATGTTTTACTTTGTATTATGTCTGTTGTTTATTGTCTGACTCCCCCACTGGAAAATAAGCTCCATGTGGGCAGGGATCCATATTTTGATCGTAGATGCATCCCAAATGCCTATCACAGTGCCTGGCACAGAGTAGGTGAGCGTTATGTATTTGTTGAAGGTTGGGTGGATGAATGGATGAATGAGGGATGGACGGATGGGTGGATGGGCAGGTGGGT